TACATTTCCACCAAGTGTAGGAAGATTCCCTTTTCTTCACATCCTCGCCAACGTTTGTTATTTTAATGATAGCCATTCTGATAGGTGTCAAATGATACCTCACTGGAGTTTTTATTTGCATTTCCCTGTTGATTAGCAATGTTGAGCATCTTTTTACGTGCCTGTTGACCATCTTCACTTCCTTTTTAGAAAAAAAGTCTATTTAGTTCTGCCCTTTTTTTTTATTTCACTTAGGAGATGGATCCAAAAAGATAATTACTGCTATTTTTGTCGATGAGTGTTCTGCCTATTTTTTCCCTCTAGGAGTTTTAGAGTATCCTGTCTTACATTTAGATCTTTAATCCATTTTGAGTTTATTTTTGTACACAGAGTTAGAGAATGTTCTAATTTCATTCTTTGCCTGTAGCTGTACAGGTTTCCTGGCATCACTTATTGAAAAGACTGTATTTTTCTATTGTGTATTCTTGCCTCCTTTGTCATAGATTAATTGGCCAAAGGGCATGGGTTTATTTCTGGGCTCTCTATCCTGTTCCATTGACCTCTATGTCTGTTTTCGTGCCATTGCCATACTTTTTTGATTACTGTAGCTTTTAATATAGTCTGAAGTCAGGGAGAGTGATTCTTCCAGCTCTGTTCTTGTTTCTAGAGACCATTTGGGATATTTTGTGTTTCTATACAAATTTTAAAATTATTTGTTCTAGTTCTGTGAAAAATGTCGTTGATATTTTGATAAGGATTTCTTTGAATCTGTAGATTGCCTTCAGTAGTATGGTCATTTTAACAATACTGATTCTTCCAGTCTAAGAACACATTATATCTTTCTATCTGTTTGTGTGGTCTTCAGTTTCTTTCATCAGTGTCTTACAGTTTTTGGAGTATAGGTATTTTGTCTGTTTAGGTATTTTATCCTTTTTGATATGATGGTAAAAGAGATTGTTTCCTTAGTTTCTCTTTCTGATACCTCACTGTTAGTGTACAGAAATGTGATAGATTTTTCTGTATATTAATTTTGTATCCTGCAACTTTATCCTGCAGGAGTAATCATTTTCCTGTTTGGTCTCTAGCTTTTAGCCTCCTGTCTCCATCCTCACCCCTCCATCTTTAGGTTAGTCTCTTTAGTTAGCATAACTCACAATTCACCAAGAATTTATAGCATTTTGAGTCAGTTGTCACCAAGCAGGATTACAGTAGGAAAGCCCGAGGAAAGACTTAAAAAAACAAGAGGTTTCAGCAATATAATGGCTGATGTCTCAGAAAAGGAAGAATGAATCGGAGTGATTTATACTGAATCATAAACAGGGAGCTATTTCTCTTGTTATTTAATCCTGGGTCAGGAGCGCTTTTAGTTAGGCATGTGTTTGACATGGAACTTGGACACATCCTGAGTTTCTGGCCATCTTTAGCAGAGAAGCTCAATTTCATTTGTGTCTCCATAGTCCCATGGTCAATGGGTAGTTCCAAAGTACAACATCTTACCAGAAGTCTACCAGATTCCACATCTAAAGCTTTTCCAATTTATTGAGCCAATGTATATCAGACACCCAATAGGTGACATTCTGTTCCTTGTTACAGAAGATTAATAACTCATGGGATAAAAGTGGGAAGGAGCTCAAGTCCCATATTGTTTTTCCATAGTCACTTCACAGTGCTCTGTGCAATATTACCCTGCTACAGAATACAATAGACTTCATTGACTAACCTGAATTTGAATTGTTGACATTTTCCATATCTTAATCTTTTTCTCTAGTAACCAAAGTCTCTCCATTGTTAGCATGATAACTGAATAGTAAACAAAACAAAGACCATTTACCTTAAGCATATTTTTTCATTGAATGTTGGTTGTTGATTAAAGCATTTTGCAATATAATTAAAGGTAGTTTAAGTAGCTAATTAGATAATGTTATACAGTAATTTCCAGTAACACATTCCTTTAAAAGAGAGCATCCATCATTTAGGAATGCAATTTATCACTGAGTTACTGTTACAAATGCAATTATATATTAAATGGAAGAGAGCATCACAAATCAACCCTGGTATTCTGTAAAAATTTCCATATCCATAACTTTTGAATAATTCTTAAGGGGTTGAAGAGATATGTGAGAAATTTGGGACTCCATATTTTAGTTGACCTTGCAATTGTCTGGTAACTGGTTCTAAATCATATTTTTGGCAGTTAAGACCCAGATTAAAGCTAAATCTGTGTACACATGTTTTGACAAAATTGACTGATGTGTTTAATCAACCAAATTGTCCACTTAGTCAGACAAATGCTTTGACTGTATGATTTGCTTATTTGTTTTTTTGTTAAACCTACTAGTTTTAAACAATTAACTTAATTGGTTAGGTTAACAAAATATAGCAAGATCATCTCAATGTTTGGAAGCAAGTTCAATGGGATTTTCTTTAAAATGGCTATACCAAAGTTAAGAAACAAATTGTCTCTTGGCTTATGCTCAAAAATTTACTGTAAAACATTCTGACAAATTCTGATTTCAAGAACCTTTTATAAAAAAGCAAACACAAAACATCTA